TTATTGCTGAGAAAAATTTGCTTAAATGTGCCAGCCAACAACCAAATAACTAGGCTCGACACACTATATCCAACAATGCATATCATCTCTCACATCATCGTGTTAAAAGAAAATTCGAATTCGATCCTTGTCATCTGTGTTCTCCGTACCTCTTTACATTGGTGTTTTTTTTTTAATCTGCCTCTTTTATAGGCACGACAATATCATTTTTCACTCTGCAAGTTCCTTTTTCATTAACAACGACGACGGCCGGTCGTGTATTTCTTTTCTGTTCTGCCTTCTGTGTTTTTCTGTGCCTTTTTCTATTCGATGGCTTTTTTTTCTCTCTCACTACAAAAAGGTAGTACGTGTAGTCGTGCATAATTTCATCACGGAAAAGAAAGCAAAGCGCGTTTTACCAGGGCCCCAAAAACCATCAAAGCCAATGTAACAGAGAGACACGAGAATTAGCTTTAGCATCATCACTTTGGAGTGTTTCGTTATTTTCATTATGTTAAAATAAAGCAGAAGACGAAGTAGAAAGAAAAAACTGTCGAAGAAATAAAGACACACCGCAATCGTCTTATATTCACTTGGGCTTTGGAGATGAGAGAAAACAAACGTGTTGCGTGCAAGAGTGCGAATGAATGGGTAAATGCGCTGACTACTAACAGCAACAACAACAACAGCAGCAAAGATGACGAAGACCGTAGAAGGTGACAACACTGGCCGAATAAAAGAGATAGAAAACAACAATCCATGCTGTTGCGATGAAAAACAAAACCTGATCATATTCATTTATATTGGACGGTTGTTGGTTCACTTTTTGCTGCCGCTGATGCTGTTGCTGCTGCTTTATGAGCGCGCGTTTATGTTTTCTGGTTTATTTTTTCATCGTATATGTTGTGTGCACGGCCGTTGTTGTTGTTGTTATTGTATACTTATAATTCTTATTTTTTTTTTCATTTTGTGTGCTGTCTTGAGCATTTCTCATTCCGCCGCTGGTTAGGACTTCGACTGCATGGCAAAGTCGTCTAGTTTTTCCATCCCGAATACGTAATTCGAACAGATTATAATTCAAATCGGTTTTTCGGCCAGAAAGATGTGTCTTAACTAAATGAAATGTGTGAAATGTGCTTGAAATCTCTGAAAATTTTTAGATTGTCATAAAATTTTCGGTTGGCCGCTGTTCATTTCGGTGTTATTTGCAATGCAGTGTTTTTTTTTATAAATATTCGTTCGTTTGTTTATTTGGTTGCGGTTCATACATTCGCGGTTTTATGTTGTGTTGTTGTTGTTGTTTGCAGTGATGCCGTTGCGGTTGCGGCACTCATGTTACTATTGTTAGCTCTGCCAGTGTGTACAAGTTCGCCAATTGATTAAGTAAACAAAAACACACAAATGTATACACATCATCAATTGGAGAAGTGCAAAAAAAAAACCGAAGAAATAAGCATATTTAAAAACTTCAACAAATATCGGCATTCTATGCTCATATTCTCCATTCGGTCTCGTTTTAAAATATTCGTTCGTTCTCTTTCGTGTGTGTGCGCGCGCATTGCTCCGTTTCATGAGACTGTCTATATGTTTGTATGTAATTAAAGTAAAGCACATAAAAGTCATAAAGTTAATTTAAGCCTTCGTCCAATCCAATTCATCGCACAAAATCGAACATAATAATAACGAAACCGAAACAAAACTCTCAACCGAAACAAAGACATAGTAATGCAATCGTGTGCAGCTCATCTTTGTGCGAAGAAATACATGATACCATAATTCCATTTAACACGAGAAAAAAAAAAAAAACAAAACACACAAACGAATAGAAGAAGAAAACATGTTTACCGGAACGTCGCCTGCCCTTTAATGGGTTAGACCGATATTCTTGCAACTGAGTATGATTTGCTGATCGCTACGATCGAAATATATATATATATGAATGCGTGAGAATGAGTGTGAGATTTCTCCTGAGATTTCATTGAAATGTAACACCACCATATAAAAATTGAGATTTTTTGTATGGCAGTATTACGATTTAATGAAATATCGACAGAAATCTCACATTCATTCTCGGACAATCATACATAATATGTATTCTTATTTCGTTTCAGTTTTTCGTATCCACAAACAAATATTATATATGTACACGAAAAAACTGAAATGAAATAAGAACGCAGCAACAAATCGCTCAATATTTACTTTTCTGCACATAAATATATGGAGAGTATAAAATATGTGTGTTTTGTTTTTTTTTTTTTTTTTCGTATTCATCTTTCTCTATTTGTTTCAATGTGCGTCCATTATATCTCAATCGGTTCGCTGTCTCTCGTATATGGATAATCTGACAATGAGCTGAATTGAAAAGTGCAAACGAAAAAAAAACAGCAACCATTTTAACGAAACAACCAACTAAACTAACAATAACAACAAAATGGCCTGTAATATTAAAATTAAATGACGAGTGGAAAAGAAAAATGACAAGAAGACGGAACGATGTGGAAGAAATGAAAAAAACTAGCCCAAGCACTCACAATTCATATATTCACTTTGTGTGCTGGCAGAATAAAGTCTCGGTATATCGGGTCTTGGTCACAACAATGAGAACCAGAATTATATATGTTCGCAGAATGAGTAATAATAAGAAGAACAAAATAAAAAACCAACGACCTAACCGATTCTCGTCATCATCTTATTCAGTCAAACGCGTGATATTCTAATTGGACAACAGTATATATTTTCGTAGTTCATTTTTTTCGCTAAAGTTTTCAATTGCTCTGTATATTGTGTCAATATATGGTGCTATACATACCGCGTGTGTCTAAACGACGAACATACACACACACGCATCAAAATAAAACGTTTAAATCACTTGCTACTTTTTTTTTGTTCCTCAAAATGACAACTCTTTAAGTGCTGGGCGACAACGGCTACAGAACAATTAACTCTATTTTGATAGTTAGTCGAAGAAAGTACATTTGAATATGAGGCACAAAATGTGTAAATGAAAACGAGTGTCAGCCAACCAATTATTTAGACACTATGAGAGTCTAACGCTGATCTCATAACAGTAATAATATGTGTTCCAAAATTGAATGTTGTTGTTGTTCATTTTCCATTCTCTCAATTGAATTTTCGTTTTATCAAACTGTCGTTCGTGTGTTTCGGTCGTGTGCTATGTGTGCAATTGCTTTTTTTCCACTCACTTCAGAAAAAAAAAAACAATACAACCAGTCAACATAATAACGAAAAGTAAAAAAAAAAAACAAACACATCAATATCACTCTGTTTGACCGCTTTGATTTATTTCCTTTTCATTTCGATGTTATATTTAAATTAGTTCCCCGAACCATTTTTAGCTGTATTTCTCTTTATTTTTCGTTTTATTTCACTCGTTTATATTTCTTCATTTCTCTCTTTTTTATTTCTTTCCTTCACAGCAGCTGTATAAAATAAAACAGAACAGAAAAAAGTAGAACTATAGTTGTTCTCTTCAAAAAAAAAAAAAAAAACGAAGAAAAAAACAAAACCTTAACTCATCGATAACACTATTTGATGTTGATTTTGAATGTGTGTTAAACAGTTGTGTTTTTATATGTTTTGTTGTGTTTATCACCATATACGCCATATAATCATCTTTAATTCGTGCACGGAATTCTGACAGAGGAACCCAGACGGATTTCTCTCAATCCACATTTATATATGTGCATAATCTCTATCGCTCGGTCTCTGTATCGCATAAGAGAATCAATCAGTAAATCGATCAACACCGAAAACAATACCTAAAACGAAGCACATATATATTTGTACAATCAAAAGGCAAAATAAAAGTTGTTTCCAGTTTTTCATCGCCATCGTGAGGGCAAAACCAAAAAAAAAAATACAAAACATAAAACATTTTCGCCTTGGATTTTTGAGAAAGAGAGAAATTGCGAAACCACTTTTATTTTACAGCATCCCGAAATTCAAACACAAAAAACACTTTACACACACACACCCAAAAAAAAAGAACACATAATACCCACATTGCACTTCATTTAGAATTTTAAAATGCGGAAACTTACTGGTGAGATTTCTTTGTTAATTTCATAATTTGTATTTTATTTTTATTTTATTGTTTCACATTTTTCTATCAAGTAGTTAAATTGGCCCGTTTAAGATTGCTATGCACTTTTTTCTTTTCAATCGATATGCTGCCGCCTGGTTTTTTTCCTTCTGATTTTGTTAAACTGCCTTGAATTCGCATTTTAACCCCATTTTATATAGCATTAGACAGATGAACAGAATGAACAAATATGTTTTTTTTCTTCATTTTTCTTTCGCTCTTGCTCGACCGTTGTGCGTTTTTGTTTCAATGTTTTATTTTGTCATTGTGATGATTTGTGCTTTATTGTGCGCACGAGAATGCGAATTTCTCGTTACACGTTTGACAAATAAAATAATGGAAACATTGATTGTTTAAAATAGTTTATTTCCAATGAATTCTATTTATATGAATCGTTCGATTGAAATGAGAATTTCAGCTAATTCACGAGGCTAAATGATTTCGATTAGATGTAGCGCCATTCAAGAATGCCATTTGATTTGGCGCTTCATTTGAATTTCAAATTAATTATCAACCAATTTGTCTTTTTTTCTCGCTCTCTCTCTCTCTCTTCCTATTTTCATCTTTGTTTGGGCGTTGACTGTCTTACTTGTTGTTCGTATGATTCAATCATGTAATTTATGAATTCGACGCAAACTTATGGAATATGCAGTGAATAAGGAAGGCATGAACCGTCTTCCAAAGAGGGTACAGCAAGCTAAACGAGTTAGTCCACCAGCGGTACCTGAAATCTATCGACATTCTGGTAGCTCATTTGGTTCGGCCGGTTACGGTTCGTGTGACGATTCCACAAATATGGGCGGCGGTTCAAATTTTTATGCAACAGCCAGCGATCCAAACAATTCATTGAACGTTTCATTGCGAAGCAATGCCAGCAATTCATCCATTGATCTACCCGATGCCGCAACTAGTCGTCTTTTGCAAGTCAATTCAGCAGCTAATGTTAGCGGTGAGTTCATTTTTTTCTTTCTCCGTTTTACATCATTCGTGCACATATTCACTAATTTCCATAGATAAAAAAATTCTTTGAATATTAAAAAAAAAAAAAACATTTGTGAAATGTCATATGGTTGGAATGTTTGTAAAAAAAATGTGAAATGAGACATTGATTGTTTGTCAATGTACACAGCAATAATTTCAACGATTTCAATATATTTGATTTTCGATTCTTCATTTATCTATAGGCAATGCATCATCAAGTGCAAACACAGCACAATCGCAACAGGCATTCATATTTCACGTTCAAAATCAGCAGCCATTAACACACAAGGCAGCAGTATATTATCATCAGCAGTTGGCATTACAAGAAGATCAAGGTATTTATTCTTTTTTTGAAACATTTTTTTTCTTTTGGTCTCCATTCAAACGGAAATTTTGATTTTATCCATTTTTCAGGCATTGATCTGACACAGTCTCCAGGTGAGTTATTTTCTCCATTTTTTTTTTTTGAATGGCTTTTCATCTCAAGAATTCGATTCCATTTTATTTTATTTGACAATAATTTTTTTCAGGTCGAGATAGTCCTGGCAGTTCATCTGGCTCGGGATCGGGTTCAAGACATTCAACGGCTAGTTTAGATAGTGGACGAGCTTCATCATATCACACATCCTCGTCGGTGGCATCAAAACCATCGGCATATCAACCGTTTTCCAATCAAGTGCCACAATTCACAAATAATAGTGGCATTTTATCCAGTCCACGATGCAGTTCAGTGAGTTCATGTTCAATCGGCAGTGCCGATATGCATCGAACCGATCATGAAATTATTTGCGATTGGCTACGTGAATTATCGATGGAAGAATATGCGCCGCTATTCTCAGAAGCTGGATATGATATGCCAACCATTAGCCGAATGACACCCGAAGATCTGACGGCTATTGGGATAAAAAAGCCTCGGCATCGTGAACGTATTAAACAACATATTGATTCATTACAATTGCCTGATAATTTACCGCATTACATTCCGGTTAGTAAATTTATTTTTAAAAACATTACCATTTTTACCCCAAAAAACCATACATTGCAGAAAATGAGGCAGAAAATAATGAATAAATTATCATGTTGCATATAAACAAAAATTTTGCTGTGTATTTACAGGGTTCAATTGAGGAGTGGTTGCGTTTGTTACGATTGGATGAGTACATTCAGCCATTATTAGCTCAAGGTTATCGACAAGTGAGAGATGTAACACAAGGCGTGTCATGGGAGGATATGGAAGATATTGGCATCGTTAAATTAGGGCATCAAAAGAAATTACTATTAGCCATTAAACGAATTAAAGATATAAGTAGCGGCAAATGGATTCCACCCGGTTTAGCAAACAATAGTCCACAGGTAAATATGTGTTACAATGTTTACCCCATTTCTTTTTTCTAAAACCAAACGAGTTATTCCACATGATTGCACCTATTGCAATTGTTAAACAACCACAACAATAACAAATTGCCTTTAATGGGATTATTCGGTCATTTCACAGATGCTCAACTGGGATCATCAGCAACAGTATTTTGAACAAATGCACATGTTAAATGCAATGCCATCACATATTTCGCCTCTGTCAACCGATAGTAGCATAAGCAATCAATTTTATCAACAGCCCAATTATCAACAATCGCTTCACTTAATGCCACATAACACGATCATGGAAAAGGATAACAATGATTTTGTTTTGATTAAGGTATGACAAATTTGATATTTCAATGAAATTCTTTTAATTTTTTTTATTGATTGTTTTTCTTAATTATAATGAATAGTTACGCCAGCCACGTGGTCGTTCGATTGATTCACCGGATGATGATGAAAATCGAATGATAGTAACATTTAGCCAGCATCATAATAGCCAGGGATCGGAAGCCGAAGAAGCTCTACATGAAATGTCGGCAGTCAGTAGCCAATATCAACCGAATTTGCATAATTTACATCCACAGTCATGGCGACAATATGTTGATGGTGACATAACGCCAACAAATGAAATGTGTGGCCGAACGTCTGGTCGTGATATCAACACATTGGCTGGTGAAATTGACCGTGATAGTTTATTGCGAAATCGTGGGATGACCGTGCCACAAAGAAATAAACCAATTGCAATGGTAAAAGGCAATGTCTTACATACAATTCCACAACAACAACAGCAACAACAAGATCTAATAAAACCATCAGACGACAGGTAAAACACCGTACATCAATGCATCTGATTTTGGTATAAGACATAATATTTTGTTTCTCTCTCTTATTCATAACAGCTATAGTACACGCAAGAAAATCGATGAAATTCGATCGATAGCACCAGAACCACCGCGAAGACATTGTTCGAGCAGCACACTTCGTCCAAATTCACTCGATCAAATTTGTGAAGACTATGAATCGCTTACTATATCGGGACAACCATCAAAAGCCAGCGGTCCATTCAATTCACAAGATATTTACAGTTATTCGAATCAAGTTCAAAGCCAAATGCATTCGATGCCATTTTACGATAATTGCAATCAAATGTCGTTGAGCATGCCATCGGCCCAACAACCAATCTATGCAAATTATAATGCCGTTGTGAATGCAATGCACACGCAAAAATCATTGCCAAACATACAAATGACCAGTACAAATCATATTCAAACACGAGCCGAAGTGCATGCTGAAAAGGTGCCGTTCACAACTAGCAACGATTCAAAGGTAAGTGAATTACAAAGAAAAAAATCTTATCCAGATAATGATTTTGAACGAATTTGAAATTCAATAATCGATTTTTTTTTCGTTTTCAGTCAAACTCAAGCATAGATTCGATCGATCAGTTGCCATTTGCAAATGATAATGCTGGAACGATAAAACAACGTGTAAATCAGTATAATCAAATGCATACAACCGCACAAGTTTCACTTGACGATTCACAATCAAAATGTACAACGGCAGAGAATACGCCTACAAATTTATCGTCAGCCACATCGCCTTGCGCTAGTCGCAATGAATCAAATGATATCAGTCAAAATGAGCATGCCAGTGTATCGGTGCTGAATGATATTGGAAATATGTTGGCAAATCTCACCGATGAATTAGATGCCATGTTGGAAGAAGAAAAACGTGTCGGTCTTAATGACAGCGAGTAAAATTACGTTGAACTTACACACCCACAAATTTGGTGCAAAAACATAAAATAGGTGTAGAAATTTGTATACATATACTATATTTAGGAAAACTGAATGAAAAAAAAAAATGAAAATAAATAATAGCCATATCGTAGACACAGGAGAAAGAATGAAGAAAAACAAACAAACTACTTAATACTTTAAACACACAATGGTGTTATGCATAAATAAATATATAAAATTGAATTATAATCGTTATCGTAAATTCGTTGTTGTTAATCGATTCATTACGATCGTAATATATCACCTGGGCCGTGACACAAAATATCAGTCACCATTTTTGTCGCCATCATAAGTATGTTCAGGCATATTGAACATCACAATTTGATATAGCTTTTTACTGACGATCATTTAAAACAAACGATGACGATCTCGAACAAAATACGAGATATCGAAATCAAAAGAATAAACATTAAGAATTTGTGTATTTGGATAATAATATAAATGCATGAAATTGTATGCCATCGTGACACATGCAAAATATAAGAAATGTATTGAAATTGTACCGTTATAATGAAAACAATAAATAATAATAATTGTAATATGATTTACTAACAAAAACAATAGGATGCGCGCAGTGTTCTGTTAACACCCTGGATAAATATATATATAAAAAAAAACAAATTGGTGTACGACCCCGTTTTGAAATTCCTGACTTAAACCGAGGCGGAGTTATTATGTATGAAAACTAATATTTATACAATTAGGGTTAAATTGTTATCTGCTTCCGGAGAAGAAAATCGAATGTTGTAGAATCTGCACGTTTTTTTTACATTTCTATTGGCGAGCCAAAGTTCGTCAAAACACTATTGTCTCGCATTCTGAATAGAATTTCCGGAGAGCCTCCCCCGACCCAACACATCCATTCTATAGCATAATGATGTAAATGTACATGTTTTAGTGATAGAAACATAATAATAATAATAATAATAAAAACTAGATGAAGTGATGAACAAAGTATAGCGCACTACTCGTTCCTCTCCCCAACCTCGTTCCCTTCTCATGCTGATGCAATCTCTTTTATGCAAAAATCAACCTTAAACACAATTACTGACCACAGAGTAACCACATGACTGTAAAAAAAAAAATTTGATAAAAAAATTGTGCATGTTAGAGCAAATTCCCAATTCCGTCGATAACAAAGATTACGCACAAATTCCCAAATCATATTTACACGACTCTCACACATTCCACAATGTGTGGCACTGAAATCACATACATATACAATTTTTTGAACAAAAAAAAAATCAACGCAACATTAACCAAATTTTTGTTTTAATTCACGTTTAAAGAAAAAAATGGTTACTTCCTGTTTGCACTCTAACGAATTTCTACAAATTTTGTACGCCTTTTACTAATTATATACTGTAGAATGGAATTAGATGTCGCAATTTTATTTTGATGAATGAACTTCATTCTACATACTACACAAACACACACTCACACATTCGATAGACATTTGAAAAGAAAAATGCAAAAAATAAGGGAAAAACATTCAAGATTTTTGTAATATTAGCTGACGACTGCTAGCAATCGCCGCTGCACCACATTTAATCATCATCAAGTCTTCTCATTACTAAAGCGATTTTCTTATGCAACATTACCAGACTTAAGCCATTCTCACGTATATATGATCTCCAACATACAGCGCACATGTAACCATCCCTACAGTAATTAAAACAAACAAAATTTTAAGATATTTTCGATTAAAATCGGAGTATTCTTTGTTTTTTTTTTACAATTCGATCGAATTTGTCGAATCGATTGTTTATATATTTCAACCAGACATTTGAAATATTTTCAGACAGATGATTCGGCTCAGGAAGCTAACGTCAGGCGCTGAAATGGAAGGAAAAACAATTATTGTTTTCACTTCATTTCAGCCTGAAAATATCTTAATATAATGTATGTCTGTTTCGACTCGATTTTGAAGGTTTTTTACTCTTGACCACTTCAAATTCTTGTCAATCTATTTTCATTTTTACAACACAATTTTCATTTCAACAACACAGACAGACAAATGGAAAAAAATAAGCTAGAATTTTGAACATTTTTTTGTAGACCTCCTATAAATGAACATATACTTTTTGAATCGATATGCCATTCGTAAATAAGATAATAATGGTCATTTTTGAATATGATAATGTGAAAACTTTGAACGTTCGATGGTTGTTGATTCATGAATAGCATAATATAAACAAAATATATTAAAGACATAACAAAAAAATAAATAAAAATGAAATATCAATCATAACATTTAAACGAAAACCACATACAAACAATAAAAATGAAAGATCACAGAAAACTGTAAAGTCACGACCGTGCGGAAACAGAGCGGTATCCTTTCTCAAGATGTGACGATTGTCACAGAATTTATCATTATTCAAATAAAAAAAACCAACAACCCACAAACTTATTATAACATAACATTGAAAGAAAGAGAGAGAACGATAAGAATGAAATTAAAAAAGAAAAAAAAATCATATAGCAATTTTGTATACAGGTACAGCCATTCAATTCACATTTTCTTTGTTAATTTTTCAAGATTTTTTACGCAATGGATACGCTGAAAATAAAAACAAACAAGTAGAGAAGAGAAATTACTGAGAAATGATAACGATTGGGATGTAGAGAAAGATTTTTTTTTTTTTGAAAACGGTTTTTGTGTCTTAAATAGCATCAATTTGTTTCATTTGATTTTTTTCCCCTTCATATCCGATGCATTTTGCGTTCCAATCAATCGAAATGTATTTCTTTAGACGAATGAGTTTAACTGAATAGTGACGTTCAGTGATGAGTATATATTTTGTTGTTAATCGTTCAAATATCAAATGATTTGAATGAGATAAGTTTTGTTTTCTTTTTGTGTCTAACCCAAACCCATCTCCAAACTCCCCAACATATTCAAGGAATCTTAAGAAAAATCAAAAAAAGAAGCCATGTTTTAGTATTGAAAAATAAAGAAAGATGCAGAGAATATACAATATTTTGATGATTTTGATTCTTTTTGTTTAATTTAACCCCATAACAGTGAGTGAACAAATGAACATGCATTTTTTTTTCTTAAAATGGATATAATTACATTTGACCATTGCAAAACAATAGATTTCTATGATTTTTTTTCTCGTCTTATTCTTCAGTTTACTTTATTGAAATATTGAAAAAGGCAAAATATACGTAAGAATATTTAAAAGATATTTCAATGCTTGAACGACTTATTGAATTAAAAACAAAATGCTTGACGAATTGAAAAAAAAAAACGGATTCCCAATTACTTTTTGTTGTTGTCTCATGACGTTTATGTGATTTGTTTATTGAGAGTAATGTGCTTAGGACGATGGTGGCGGTTGTTCAGGATTATTTGATGCGGGATTGTTTTGATTTGCATTTTCACCGCCCATTTCACCAAGACCAGCGGCAGCTGCAGCCGATGCGGCCGCTTCAAACATCTCTGGATTTTGATTTCGCATTTGACCAACCAATTGACGACCGCTGAAACAACAATATTCCATTTTAATTTGCATTGAATACAAACCGTTACCATTTATGCTACTTACATCTCAAAAATGCCATTTATATTATTCATTTCAGTCAATTGACTGCGCAATTGTGAAATAGTATCCTGCATGGCGGGATCCGACATCATTTGTGTTGCAAGGTTCATTAGAGCTGGATTATTAAATGCTGCATTAAAGTTGATTCCTCCCATTTGTTCAGCAAAGTTTGGTGGAAGACCGTCACTTGGTGGAGCATTTTGTGCTAATCGAACGAATCGTCGAAGAAAAGCAAAACGAAAACGATAAAAAAGAAAGAAAATTATTATGGTAATTGGTGGCAATAAAATCCATACGTAATAGAAATATATACGGCACTAAATCGTGCAAAGTATGTCTAAACCACGTTGAATCAGGTAAGTTGTAAGGAATGTGTTACCTTCTTGAATGCGCTGCTGAGTAACACTCAAGTTATTTTGATAGTCGGCATTATCTGGATCTAAACGAAGTGCATTTTTGTAGGCTTCTTCGGCTTCCTTGTTTTTGTTCATTTTCGCATAAGCCATGCTATAAATAAAAATCCAAACATAAATCAAATTTATTTCTCTCAAAACGTGCCTATAATTAAGAAAAAGAAAAAAAAAAACACCTACCCAAGTCGTCCATACGCTTTACTGTAGTTTGAATCGTATCTCAGTGCCATTTTACAATCGTCAGCTGCCTTTTGATAATCGCCCAATCGGCTGTATGCAGCCGCCCGATTACAATAAAACACCGGATTGGTTGCATCTATACTGAGCGCCTTATTGTATGCGACCAATGCTTCCGTATATTTTTCCTCTTTCATCAATTGATTGCCTTCATTTTTAATATTTTCGGCTTCTTCTTTACGATCTGGACTGATAGTGCAGCATGTGCTCTTGTAAATATCATATAAATTTATGTGATTCAATGGACTGTCATCGGATGAACCAGCTTCACTGCTTAACGATGGCAAATCGTAGGCCGTTTCTAAGCATTGTGCGGCCACTTCCAAACTTTCAACAATATCCGGCGAAAAATTGCTGCTGTCTATTTGATTTTGTAGAAAACGTAGAAATGCTTGAACAAAATATTTTGTTTCTGTTGGTACGGTGGTCATTGTGTTATTCACGTGCTCTCACTTATTTACTTTAATATGATCAATTTTATGATTTCGAATTTTTTTCCCGATTGTGTGTGTGTGTGTTTTTTTTTTTGTTATTTATATCGTATTTTTCTTGCCACACTGTGCCTGTTTGGATGGCAAAAAAAGTTCATTAATCTAAAATCAGGTTCGCTTGTCAAATTCTACCGAATCACACATTGACAACACATTCTCAAACACACCAAAGTCGTGTGAACTTATGGAGCAAAAAAAAAAAAACTCGTGTTGTCATTTTGTGGTGAATATTTGTTTATTGTTTTCACGTGAAGTTTTGGTGTCTAATTTCATTTGATCATTTCAAAAATAACCTTTTTTGATAATATTTTTATTTGTTCGTCGATTTTATTCAAACTTTATTCATAAATGAGATCGCAATTTTTATATAAATATTTGCAAGTTTGATTGCAATGACAATAGATGGCGCCAGTCATACCGGTATTTTGTCTCGACACGTGGTGAAAATATACATTTTTAGCCATGCAAACTATACATTAAAATAAATCACAACTCCGATTCATAGCACACTTACACGATATGGTACGATATGACGGTTTGAATATTTCCTACAGTCATAAATTTAGAAATTTGCATCTAAAATTAAATTCCAATTGAATGAGCATATCTTGCGTGTAATAGTAATAATTATAGTTATTAACACCTCGTTCAATACAACTTTATTTCACGTGTTTCGTAATGGAACATTTTTAGCCGTAGTTTTTCTTATATATCATTTCAACAGAAGTGAAAATCATACGATTTAAATATTGTATCATTGAGTATTTCCATTCAATTTAAAAAAAAAATGCAATTTTGTTTTGAGATATTTTGTTGAATGAACACCTTTATTGTAATCATATATTGTATATTATTATTGGGTGTGACAATTAATTTTAAAGGATTGATAAGAGATGTCCTAACTCTTTCTGTAACGCATTGGACCATACTATAACCATATTCACGTGAAAATCACATCATTTGACACTAGTTTTCAATATGTTTTATTTTGTCAAAGTGTAAACAACATATTTTTTTCGCTTAAAATCATGTCAGCTTACGTGCCAAAAAAACAGCATTTGCGGGAAGTTTTACTTTTCTTTTTTATTTCGAAGAAAAGTGCTGCTGAAAGTCATCGTTTGATCTCAGATACTTACGGTGATCATATTCTATCGATTTCAACCTGTGAGTATTGGTTTCGACACTTTAAAAGTGGTAATTTCGACGTGGAAGACAAAGAACGGCCAGGTCAGCCAAAAAAGTTTGAAGATGCAGATTTGCAAGCATTACTCGATGAAAATGCATGTCGAACGCAAGAAGAACTTGCAATGGAGTTGAATGTCGACCGAAGAACCATTTCTGTGCGTTTGCATGTAATGGGAAAGATTCGAAAGTTGGGAAAATGGGTACCACATCAACTGAATGAAAATCAATTGAGGAATTCTTTCGACGCGGAATCGACAAGTTACCAAGAAGATGGGCGGAAGTCATAGCTAACGATGGGCAATACATTGGTTAAAAAAATATTGTATAGTTGTTTTTAAATAAATGTATCTTTTCACACAAAAATCCTTTAAAATTAATTGGCACACCCAATATTATTGGACATAATGCCAAATTTGTTAAAATCATATTTTTAAACTAAAAGCATTGGTTGAAAATTGTCTGGATATTCATCTTTCCACGACGATGCGGTGACGATTTTATTTTTCCAATAGCCTTTTTCACCCCATTTGATGCCATTGTTGACGAGTTGATCGATATTCGTTTCCCATCGCATCATTAAAGCATCTGGTGATCCCATCCAACCGGAATCTTCATCCCACAATTCAATTGTGATGCGTACTGATTTATGTATTCTTGGTGATCGATATGTTTCGCCAAAGTATGGCATATGAGTATTTACTCTGCATTCAGTGCGATAAACCTCTTTTCCTTCGACCAAAATTTTAATATATGCATCACAAGCACCCCAGTCATCACAAGCATTTCCAAATATATCAGTGTGGGCCTCACCTCCGTGTATAGCTATAGTCCACCAACCAAATCCTTTAGCCAATAGAAAACAACTATTCATTTATTTGCACTACTAAATAAGACATTTTTTTTTAAAATCAAAGTAATAAATGCCTGTTGAAAATGTTTACCTGTTGGACTATGTTGAAGGGGTTGATTGCGTGCTTCATCGGTGCATGTTTTTGCCACAAGTTGAATGGCATCAGCAAAAGCATTTTCCACACGATATCGAACGTATTCCATGTATCCAAAGAGGCAACCATACATTTCATGTCTCATATGGCAATCGTATTCTGTTCGTGATATCGGATCTCTTAAACAAACATAAACATATTCACCTTCAAACGGACGGCATCCCTTTCGACATCGTAGCGAACCATTGTCCAGGGTTTGATTGTAATTTTCGTCAACACTTTTTGCCAAAACATCATTGATCGGTTGACGATTGTGTATTGGTTCGCCCATTGAATCGGCGATTTCCAATTTATGCAAACGTGCTTCGACGGTGATTGGACGATATTCAAATAATGTTTTATAAAGTTTACACGAAATTAACGATGCTCGCGCAAGGTCAGGCACAAATGCACTTTCCATATAGACAAACAGCGATACAAACGATGACAACGATAAAAGAATTGGCATTCCGACTAATGGATATTTTCGAAAGATTGAATGTCTTTGAGCAAATTTACTCACTATATTACATAGACCCGTGTGAATATCGTGAACAATGGTAATTTTACTATCGGATGAAAAGTTTTTGTTTGGATCCAAATTGATAATATTTCGTGCAACTGTTCGCATCGACATTTCAATTGTTCGCATATCATGTTCGGCCTGTTGTCGATGTTTTACATCCGGAATTGCGCGATCCAATCGTCTTCGCCACTCGTACTCACTTCCAATTGTGTCTTGAGCAATAGGCAATGCTGCAATCATTGGAGCTAAGTATGGAACAAATTTTAATATTCTTGTGTCACCGATTACTTCCACTTCTTTGCGTTCGAAAAATGATTTGGTCGTTTGCAACGATTGATTGACACGCGTTTCAAGTATATTGGGAAAATCTTCGGTTAGCACAAAATTGATTCCTTTGTATGGAATCCATGCCAATGATAATCCACTCATAAACGTTAAAATAGATATGATTCGAATTGTGAGCATCTTGGAATTCGAGATTTATTTTTTCCCCGAAAATATGGTTCACTTTCAATTTCTCTTCCAATTTTGTAAATGAAAAAAAAAACTTCTTCAGATAACTCCCTCAATCAGTCTAATCACAACAAAGTATCAACTCTAACTGAAAAAATAACCAGTGTATGCCAATGCATTTGAATTTCTAATGGTATCAATTGCACACAGATACTCATCAAGAACAACCAACATTGCAACGAAACAAATCTTTACATTTTTTTCATCATAACAATTCTATTATTATTGGTTTATTCTAAGTAACCTTGTCTCTAATAATATTGCATAATGAAGTAAATTAATCTAAAACGATCTAGATGATTTACGATTACAATTACTTTTCAAATCGACGCAATTTACTACGATTTTTTTGTTTATTTTAAATTTTCCACTCAACGGTTAATGGTCTGAAATTGAAAAAATATTAGGCATTTTCAAAGTGAAAGTTTGAATATTAATCAATAAAGGAAAGAAAATGCATAAAAAAAATCTTTCTATTTCCAGTTTCACTTGCGAGAAAAATGCATTTTGATGCTACACAGACACAATGAATTGCACAGTTTTATGAGAAGGATGTAGGTCATTATTATCAACGTAGTGTATGCACGTTATTATGGTTATATACAGATACACTGCCGTCAAAAAGTTTCAGACCACTCCGAAAATATTTAAGACCCAAATTCATTTTCAAGCCGCAGAAAATCTTAAGAATATCATAAAAAATTGGCTTAATACTCAAAAATTTGCCGCATTCAAACTTTTCGTATAATATTTTTTTATCACATTTTACCGCGTTCCGAATGCAGATGCAAACGTTTTAAATTATTGGAAACAAACTCAAATATTCTCTTTTAAATGGAATGAAATTAAACTTTCTGACGGCAGTGTTTATAGTTCAATTTCAATGCCACGGAGTTTTAAACAAAGATTTGTAAAACTACATGACAAGATCATGTCATTTCAATCTCAACATCATTTATAAAATTACTATTTCATGAGCAATTTGTGCGAATAACTATGTGCATCATTTTTTTTAAAGATGATAAACATGGCAAAAGATGAAAAAAAATTCAAGGGATGCCATTTTTGGAACATTTCGACTTGATCTTGGATTTGCAGTTCAAATCGACCAATATTCTATTTATAAATTCATCGAAATGAATCGATCCATCTAACGATGTTTCCTGAAGAATTCTCCTTGAAAAATTGAAGATTCTCACACAACTTGATTATAATATAACGTAAACAATTTAAATTTTACTAGCAAAATTCCGGCTTATGCACATCAGTGTCGAAAACAATTAGCTTTTCAAATTTTTATTTAAAACGAAGCTGATGGAGTGCCAACATCATTCCATTTGATATTAGCGCATGCGTTTCACGCAAATAGAATTATTAATTTAAATTCGTTGCGTACGCAAGCACATACGGCTAGAACATTTGATTTCATTGCTTTGTGAGGTGGACGCATGTATAAAAGTTATATTAGCGTTTAAAAAAAGTTCACCAAGCTTTCGTCATCGCAACTGGCGCCGCATCCATTTATTTGTCAAAACACGAAAATAAAGGCACAGAACGTCAATGAGACAGCGTCCATATCATA